CTTTCACCACTCCATCTTATTTCCAAAAAGATGTAAGATACCATAAAAAAAAGGACAATTTAAGGTATCATAAAAAAAGGATTTAGGATTTAAAAAGGATTTAAGATGTATATGAAATTTAAAATAAGAGCAGATTATCAGAAAGGGTAAACCAGGAGAGAAGTTGACACATTTCACAAAATTTGTGCTGTGAAGTCTTATATACTTTCTAGAGATGAACTTTTCATAGATTTATGCCATTTTATATCCCACCATTAAGTGTGTTGTGTTTGTCAAACTTTTTCATCTCTACGTGTTTTCCTTATCAGATTGGCAGTTATTGTGGTTTTAATCTACATTTCTGTTTACAGAAATTGAGTATCCTTCAGATATTTAAGAGCCATTAAACATTTAGTTTTGGCCGTATCTTTTTCTTGTATTTCTTTGCTTTTGTGCATGTTGATACTATATTATTTGGTCTAATATCCATAAATATTAGATTAAATCTAATAATATTTGACTATTAGATTATATGATTATTATGTCTCCCCCCCCAATTACATAGCATTTTGATTAGATTAAGATTAATGTTCATTTCTCTCATTATTTAAATACTATTTCTAGGTGGGCCACATAGCACAACTTTTTAATTTCTCCAAAGTTAATTTTTTCATTGCTTAAGAGTTAGATCTTTGTTATTGATTGTATATGTTTCATGGTGAAATACCTTCTTTTAATCTTACCTAATGCTTTTTACCTTGGTTTAGATTGTCCGGATACTAAGATTAAACTCTTGGGTTTTTTTTTGGTACAGCATTTGCCTGGCAAATCTTATTTTTCTGTTTTCAGTGTTTTTAAGTCACTTATTTTAGATGTGACTCTTGAATATAAGCATATAGTTGGGTTTTGTTTTGTGATACAATCTTAGACTGTCTATACATTCTATTTAAGTTGCTTTTGAAAAAAATCTTCACTATATCTTTTTCCTTTGCCTTATTTTATGCATGTGCTTCTTTAGTTAATTTGGAAGGTTTGTATCTTTATTCTAGGTTACCTTTAAGACTATATGTAATCCTTTAATCTTCTGCTTTTCAGTTAATATGTGTTGATTTTCTACCATGAAAAATGACAAAACTGGTTTTAGTTTATTATTTTTGTTTATTTCCATTTTGTGTAAATTCATTTATGGAACACCTATCTCAGGAATACTTGAGATACTGTTTGAGTCACTAAAGCCTAGTAAAGAACAAAACATGAAAAATTCCTGTTCTCCACAGGGAACTGCTGTTTTCTGGTATAATCTGTTTGCTAGTGGAGATTATATTCTGTGCAATAAAATACGTATTTATACCCCTATAACTTGATGTCAGTTTTAAATCATCCTTTTTACCTCTGGCTATAAATGAAGTGCCTATTTCAAATTATATTCTCATCTTTCTTACTGACTTTATCATTCCTTTGCTTTTTATACATATTTTTTACCTAAGTTTGTAAACCTAAACAGCATCTTATTTTGTTTTTTTAAGAACTGAATAACATGCACTATGTAAGTAGAAGTCCAGATGTTCTCACCATCTAATATTCAGTATCGTAGCCTCCTCAAAGGGCATGTTTAACTTTATTCTACCAGTATTTTTGATAATACTCTCTCATCTCATAGATGAGTGATGTGTCTGCAGGAGGAGCCACTGTTTTTCCTGAAGTAGGAGCTAGTGTTTGGCCCAAAAAGGTAAACTTGGTTTGTTTGTTATTTTAATTTTGAGGGTTTCTATTTTTTTCCCTAAGGAAGAGATATACCTTTATTTCATGGTCTAATTAATAAATTATGTTTTTAAAGGTAGTATACTTAAGGACTATATTATCTCTAGGCAAAACTTTGGATATTTTTATGGCATAATTTACCATGAGTATCTACTAGAGGTAATGAACAACCAGGCATTACATTGTAAAGTATAAAAATGTCAAATCACTATATTGTACACCAACTATATACTTAAATAAAAATTTAAGAAAAAATGAGTTCCATATGATGCTTGCCCTCCATCTTTCTATTATAAGATTTGTTAGCTTTGCTTTGGCAAATACCTTTTTTTGTCAAGCAACTTTGTGGTATTAACGTTTTCATGTGCTCATGAAAATTTTGTAAATGATATAATCATTTCCGGAATTATATTAGAGGAAGACATAGTGCTCCCTTGGAGTACTTTTGCAGGAACAGAGGAAATTTTTATTACTACAAAAAATGATAACCTGTTATTTTATTTGGGAATAATTTTGTATTGTTCTCCACAGGGAACTGCTGTTTTCTGGTATAATCTGTTTGCTAGTGGGGAAGGAGATTATAGTACACGGCATGCAGCTTGTCCAGTACTAGTTGGAAACAAATGGGGTAAATATTTCCTATATTCTCTTTGTAATAATTGCAAAATATGAAACAAAAATCACAGTCTACATCTCAAAAGAAATTGAAAACAAAAGTCCTGACAGATTGGCTTGCCGTGACTCTAACATTGAATGGGGTTCAACCACACAAGTTTCTGATCTTTATATAAATTTACTTTCATCAGATCAGAATTTTGATGACGGATTTTTAACAGTATTTCCACTTGCTAGTCTGAGAAACATTAACTGACTCAGAGTCAAATGAGATGACATTGTCCCTTCAAGGAGTTCATAATTGTCTCTGACTGAGGCATCCTACTGGATAAATTATAGTGCGGTACATACGAATACAAAGATGTAAATAGAAGGTGGCAACTCCTTACATATGAGGAGGCTTCTTCAAAGCTTAATTTTTAAATTTGGTCTTAGAGTAGTTTTCCAGGCTTATTAGGGACCAGATCTGGGACTGTTGTGAGGTGAGAAAGGCACTCACTGTCAGGGTCATGCAGGTACAGGATTTGCTACATTAAAAAAATAAAAAATAAAAATAGGTGAAGTTATTTTAATATATTTTTAACTCCAATATGTCCATTTCAGTATGTCACTAGCCACATTTCAAGTGCCCAGTAGCCACATGTGTCTAGTGGCTACTACATCATTGGACATAGTAGTAACATCTGATCATCAGGATTTTAAAAATCTTCCCTGCTAATTATAATATTTGAGAATCACTGGACTAGAATGAAGAGAGGTTAGTGGAGGACAGATCTGTTTGGAAAGGTGTTTTCCATTGTTTACACAATGATGAAAGCCTGGACTAAGGCAGCAGCAAATGGGTTATAGAGCAAAGAATGATTCAAGAGCTGTAAAGAAAATTGACAAGGTTTGATGAATAAAAGATTGGATACAGGAGTTGAGAAAGGTAAAAGGGTAGTTAATTATCATGGATCCTAGTTCAGATACTTTGTACATGTTGATGCCGTTAATGGGGCTCTATGATGTAGGAGAATAGAAAATTCTTTTTGCGTTACCTTAAAAAACAGTATCTTGGAACCAAGGAAACTTAATGAACACATAATAATAATGACTGATCTAGAGTTGCTCCTTCAGAGTGAAGATTGTGTTCATTTAAAAAATGTCTTTGTATTAGAAGTTGTATTTTGTAAACAGGTAAAAAACAATATTCTGTTCTGTCTGTACCTACATTTTAATTTCATTTTTTCAAATCTTATATTCAACATTAAAAACATAAGGAAATGCATGTACACAGACTTTCAAATGTACATATGTACATATATAAAACCTTCTGTTTCCAGCATTTAGTGAAGTTTGTAAAAGACTGCCTAAGTAGCATCTACCTTTATCTAGTTTTGGTCTTAAACTTTTAGCCCATGTACAGACTTTGTTACAGACCTGGTTCTTATAAGTTAATTAAATACTAATTAGATAGTGGCGGGAATTAATATATTTTGTTCTCTCACAGTATCCAATAAATGGCTCCATGAACGTGGACAAGAATTTCGAAGACCATGCACCTTGTCAGAATTGGAATGACAAATAGGCTTCTTTTCCTCTTCTGTTATATTCTAATGTGTTTGATACACACATTTCCCAATCTTAACTTTCAAGAGTTTACAATTGACTAACACTCCAGGATTGATTGAGTTATGCACCTCATCCCATGTTTCATCTGTGGACAATCACTAACTTTGTGGGGGGTTTTTTTCTTTTAAAAGTAACACTAAATCACCACATTGTACATATAAAACCTTAATTTCATTTGGAAACAGAGGACAAAATGAGGCAGAGTTAAAAATGAGGAATTTTTACATTTGTTATATTTTAAAAAACTTTTTTTGGTTAGATAAAGATTACTCTGTAAGTATCTGATTATAGTACTTCACTACATCTCACTTGGTGGTCAGTAGGCGGGAATGGGCCATGTGATTAAGGAAGAGATGTATGTACCTAGGTAGTCTCTTTTTCTGGATCTGCCTGAAGACTAAGAATAAAATAGGCATTTAATCTGAGTTCCATACAATGTTTGCCCCTCCATATGCTTTCTACATTGATTTTTTTTCTCCCAAGTCCTTTTTAAAGAAAGTATCCTATATTTTACCAATCCCCTTTTTCTCTGAGCTTCTTTGTGGTGAAGTAAATCTGTTTGAGGCAAAAAATACTTTGATTTAAAAAAAAAATGTTAACAGAAAGTCCTACATAACAACACTTGGCCTTCTTAACTAAAATGATCATTGCTTAGTCCGTTTGTTCATCCTTTTTCTTAAATGACTAATGATTTTGTCCATAAAATTTGCTGTTTTTCTTAGTGCTAATACCTTGCCTCTTATTTCTGCCACACTGGGGTGGTGATACTGGCATTCTGATTAAATAAATATCGTGCCTTAGGTGACTGGAAATTTAAAAAATACAAGTCCTTTCAATGATGAGGGAATTTTTTTAAAGGAATTTTTTTCCTAAAAAGCCAAAATGTTTGTTTTTTTCAATTCTGAAATGTATTGTGACAACAATGACCTATTTATGATCTTAAATCTTTTTTTAAAAATGTTTCTGTTTTCTGTGTGGTATTTTTCATATTTGAATGTGAATGCATGCTATCGCAAGAACAGGTTATTTCTATTCTTTAGTATACAGGAGTTAGGTTTATCCTCTTGATTTTTGTTCACTTGAGGTCTCATTGTTATGGAAGAAAAATTCAAGTTCTCTGAACTTTCAACTGTGTAATCAAAATGTTTCCTTCAAAGGGAACTCTACAACTTTACTATTACAATAATGTACTTAAGACTTTCTCTTATTCAAAAATATGGTGTGGTAGTATAAAGCTGTGAGCCTAATGAAGTAAGTTAAGGACCCATTAGACCAACATTTTACATTTCTCAAAGGTGAGTCCTACTTCATACAAGGGCTCTTTATCCTTCGTGCAGTATTTAAGGAAGAATTTGATTAGTTCTCTGGGAGAGAAGGTATTACTTTTACCAATCAAAAAAAAAAAAAATCAACTGTTAAGTTCCTTTTCCCAACTACCTTATGTTCCACAACTATTTTAGTACATGTTGAAAATTAAGTTGAGTAGTTTACTCAAATTTTTGTGACCATAGATGATCAAAAAAATTTTGGGGCGGAAGAAGCAACATAAATTCAAAATATAGAAATAAAATGGGGGTTCAAAGGATGGAAACTAACCATTATTGCCATATGTGTTTTAGCAAGTAGAATAAAAATACCTATTTCAGAAGGAAATGGCGCATTCCATAATCTTAAAAATTTCCTTATTATATTCAACCCCAAACACCATATGGGATTGGTAAACTCTTTTCAGTGTTAGATCTTACATAATTTGCTTAAGTTTTATAATTATCAACTATTTTTCTTTCTAAATGAAACGGGAAAAAAAATTCCAGTATAAAGCTTTGGGCCCAGTGGTCATTGCAATCTTTTTAATTTTTATTATGGTGAACTTTAAAATAAATGAGGGGTATCGTGGAAAATCTGGTTTCCTCATGAACCCTAAGTGCCTAGCCTTCAAGATGGGAGGTCACATCATTCATTAACTTTAAGCACAGAGTTATGACCAGTATCACCAACATGGAGTTAACTGAAGTATCCACCAGAACACTCAAACAGCAGGGTAAGTAAATTTGTAACTATGTAATAACCTAGTAAGATTATTAAAAAAAAATGACTAGGATTCTTTGGAAAGCTAAATGTTAAATGCAGTGATGAAAGAAGCAGTCATCTACTTTGTGAAAAAAATATAACTGGTTATTACAGTGTAAGAGGATTAAAAATTGTAAGCAGTAAAAACACATACATAAACTAATATATGTGTATGTCGTGTGTATGTGTATATATATTATAATGATCCTATTGCTGCTGAGAAGAATCTATTTTACATAGCCATGTGTTGACTAGTTATATATAAATTCTGTACCAGGTATCCATCTAGGTGAAAAATGAACAATGGTTATGCAGGGCCCTATAAGCTAAACAATTCAATGACTGGAGTCTTGCCATTAAGAAATTTACAGTATCATACCAAAACAATACCCACTCACGATTAAATAACTATAAAGCAGTTGAGAAGGAATAAACAGAATTACAAAAGATTGCTAGGAGAAAGCAGAATGAAAATGACATATTGATCTGTGTAGCTAGCAACACAAGAACTAATCTCTTGGCAGCGCTTATTTCACTATTGTAAGAGGTGGTGTTTTAGAAGGAACAACATTGGACAACTTAGAGAAAAAAAGGAATGAATTAACACTAGAGAGTACCATTCTTTAAAGGATCAGATTTATCAGAAAACAGATTTCATATTCCTAATGTCCTTGGATATTACCTGACTCTGTATTTGTAGCCTTCAGTTAACTATACATTTTGATGCAGGAAGACTAAGTTATAAAAATCATTAATAGTAAGGCAGTCTTATCAAACATAAAAGCAGATTTTAAATCAAAGGAACAACCAAAAGTAGTGCAAGTCCTCTATAGTCTGCTTTTTGAGGACTATTGAATTCCCACTGCAGCACTTTTGTGTTGAAGTAGTTGTACAAAGCAAGATAATCATAGATAAAATAAGTCCTAAAGTCCAAAAAAAGAAAATCCTTAGATTCTGTCATTTGGTTGTTCCAATTTCCTAATAGGCTTATTTATAATACAAATATGTTTTAGGCTAAGCACCTGAAAGGATTCAGAATAGAACATATAGAGTGATGTGCTCTTTTACATTTCAGGGCTTTTAGGTTGATGAATATCTTGAGTCGACCTTTTCTAGAAAAGGCATTCACTTATTTTTAAGTCCACAAAGAGCCAGAATTATTGTAATATCTACTTTAAAGCCATTAATGTAATTAAACGCCATTGCAATGTAGGTTTTATATGGGTTTGGATATCTTGGGTTAAATCATTATGTAAAACTACATAATGGTTAACTTCTAATAACAGATATTAATCTTATCCTTTGACACCTGTGTAATGAAACATTGTAGTTGTTAACTCTTAGAAGATGAAATAATTTACTTAATAGTTGAATTTAGTTATGTTCTATTTTTACTTTACATTTAAAAGGTAAAAAAGTTAGGGCTCTGTGAAATGAAAGACCACTCAGACTTAAATTGTGAGATGGAAAAAAGTAGTCCTTATTAAAATATAGTGTTTCACACATATCCTTTTTATTTATGCAACTATAGGAAAATAGCCTATGGAAAGTTCAAGAAAGGTAATAATTGAAAATGCTCTGAAACAGTGCTACTTAGTGTAGTTTGTGGAAGAGTTGGCATGGGTTTTGTTATTGGTCCACAACGAGATAAGATTACATCAAAATGTAAACTATATCAATAAGTACATGATTTTATTCAGTTGGCTGTTTTCTTAGAAAAATTTTCATGATGAAGTGTGTTATTTACTCTGTGGTACAAGCTCTTTTATTTCAGTGAGGACCAGCTTTAAATAGCATTGCTCTAAAACAGTACAGATTGTTTGAGTCTGCATTTTTAAGAGCACTAAGAGAGTTTCATATGTGGTTTGGATATTGGTTGGGGCAGGAGAAGCAGACAATGTAATAGGAAAGACAATTCATAATAATTATTTAGCTTTGCAGATGTTTCAAGAAATCAGTATGCTTACATTTTAGCATTCTGTCCTTATGGTGATAGATAGATAGGGATCAACATTTCCTCTAGTTCTAATATGACTAATTCATGTTGGTATAAGACACATTTAAGAACATCAGTTCTAGAGGAAGATAGACTAAGAAGCTCCAGGCCCTTGTTCCCCTACAGAAACATGAGTTTATCCAAGTAGGATAAACTCAGAGAATGACACTGAGGCACATTGTAATCAAACTCTTGAAAGCCAAAGAGAATCTTGAAAGCATCAAGAGATAATTGACTTGTCATATATAAGGAATCCTGAGTAGGATTATCAGTGGATTTCTCAAGATGCCTAGGCCAGAAGGTAGTGGGATAATATGTCAGTTGAGAATTCTATATCTAACAAATCTGTCTTACAAAAATGAGGGAGAATTTATTACATTCCCATCTGAACAAAAGCTGAGGAGTTACTGCTGCTAGACTTGCTCTACAAGAAATGCTTCAAGTTAAGAAGGATACTAGATATTGAAGTCATAGCAAAATATGAAGAGCTACAATAAAGGTAAATATATGGCAAAAAAAATCAATACTATAATGTTGGTTTGCAACTCCACTTTTTTCTATATGATTTAGAAGAAATGCATAAAAATTATAAATATGTTAATGGATACACAATATTTAAAGACGTAATTTGTGACTTCACTAATAAAGGGTAGTGTAGCTGTAAATGAGTAGTTTTTGTGTGCAGTTGAAGTTGGTATCAATTCAAATTCGATTGTTATAACTTTAGGATGTTATGTATAATCCCCATGGTAACCAGAAAGAAAATAGCTATAGAATTTACAGAAAAGAAAAGGATTCAAAACATGTCATTACAAAAAAATCAACTAAACACAAAGGAAGACAGTAATGAAGGAAATGAGGGACAAAAAAAAGCTGTAAGACAAAGTAGCAAAAGTAAGTCCATTCCTATCAGTGATTACTTTAAATGTAAATAGATTAGACTCTCTAATCAAAAGACAAATTGACATAATGGATAAAAAACATGACCCAAGTGTATGCTTTCTCAAAGAGACTCGCTTTAAACCTAAATATTGAAAGTGAAAGGATGGAAAAATGTTTCCTATCAAAATTCCAGTGATTTTGTTTTTATAGAAATAGGAAAATCTATTCTAAAATATGGAATCTCAAGGGACCCTACATAGCCAAAACATCTTGAAACAAGAACAATAGAGGTTTCACACTTCTTGATTTCAGCACTTACTACAAAGCTACAATAATCAAAATGTGTTGTATTGGCATATAGAGACTATCAGAATAGAACAATTTCAGCACTTACTACAAAGTTACAATAATCAAAATGTGTTGTATTGGCATATAGAGACTATCAGAATAGAATAGAGAGCCCAGAAATAAATCCTCATAACTTTACAACAAAAAACTGATTAAAAAGTGGATCAAGGACGTGAATAGACATTGCTCCAAAGAAGATATGTAAATGGTCAATAGACACGTGAAGATGCTCAACATCACTACTCATTAGGGAAATGCAACTCAAAACCACGATGAAATACTACCTCACACTCTTTAAGATATCTATTATCACAAAAAGAATATAAAGATAGAAAATGAGTGTTGTTAAGGCTATTGAGAAATTGCGATCCTCACGCATTGCTGGTAGGAATATAAAATGGTACAGTCACTATGGCAAATGGTGTGGTATGGTGAATCCTCAAAAAATTAAATGTAGAGTTACCATATGATCTAGCAATTTCATTTCTGGGTATAGCCAAAAGTAATGAAAGCAGGAACCCAAAGAGATATTTGTACACTCATTTTAATAGCATTATTCACAGTAGCCACAGGTGGAGGCAACCCAGGTGTCTATCAACAGATGATTGGGTAAACAAAATGTGGCTTATGCATAAAATGGAATATTATTCGGCTTAAAAAAGAAAGGCTATTCAGACATCCTACAACATGGATGAACCTTGGAAACATGCTGATTGAAATAAGCTAGACACAAAACAAATATTGTATGATTATACCTACACGATTCTGTTTAGAATAAGCAAATCCATACAGACAGAAAGTAGAATACCAGTTGCCAGGGGCTAGCGGGGAGAAGTTTATGTAGAGTTATTGTTTAATAGATAACAGGATTTCATTTGGGGAAGACAAAAAATTTCTGGAGATGGATGATTGTGATGGTTGCTCAACAATATGAATGTACTTAATGCCACTAAACTGTACACTTAAAATGGTTAAAATTGCAAATTTTATGTTATATACTGTTTCTCAATAAAAAATGTTTGGAAAAAAATAAACATAATATTATCCAGCCATTCCTCTCTACGCAAAAGAATTGAAAGCAGGAACTCAAAGAGATACTTTTACACCCAATATTCATAGCAACATTCCCAATAGCCAAAAGGTGGGAGAAACCTAGGTGTCCATTGACAGATGAGTGGATAAATATAAAAAGGAGGACAATTTTTAAAGTAAAAAATTAATAGAATTCAAAAGAAAACGACAAAATAAGCAAAGAAGATCTAACAGAGATAAGAGAAATCCCTAAATAAGCAAAGAGAATAATTCTTAGATATATTTTAAGAAAACTTTCTGTAATATAAGTGCTTGACATTAAGCT